GAAATCGATAAAACAGCTGAACTCGAGGCTCTATTTCGAGATCGATCCGAACAACTTCCCTCACAACGAAATTGTGTTTTCCATCAAGTCTTTGTTCAGCACCTGCTCACCTGTTTAACCACACATCGGACATCGACCTTAAGCTGATGCTGACTAATATTTCGTTGACTTGGCCGCTTGAACCTCAGACGATTCTGAATTTGCCTGCATTTTGTAGACTCGAATTTACGAAGTGGCTACCGCTGAGGTTTGCAAAGATCACGTGTATTATTTATGATTATTTATTTGAAAATGTTTTAAACCACAAGCGGACTTTTCGCGTTTTTGGATTGTATCTCAACTACTAACCAAAATTCGTTACATGTAATATGTGCAAATGGCTCAAAAAGGAACAGTTCAAGATTATATACGTCCCTGTACAACAACGTTGTACAGCACTCCTCCAACAGGTGCAGATTCTCTGTCAGGAACGGGTTAGTATTGATTGAACATGACACTTCCGCCCGTTGTACATCTTGGTGTTAAGTCAACTTTGCGTGTTAATTATGCGTACGCACGCGATCGTTTCATCACTTGAGTCACGAGTACGATAGCACCGTCATGCGTGACAGAGGGTCATACTACCAACCACATCCCCGGCCTGCCACCGATCGTATTAATTCTGTACTTCCCCGTTGACTTGGCGGCTAGGAATTTTACGTCTGCTTGAACCCGTACGGTTGGCGTGTACTACTTTCAATACAAGTACCATTCTACTTTTGACCTGCTTACTTCTGAACACAGTGGTACAGAACTCACAGTAGTAGAAGCTTTCAGTTTCATCCTTTCTTTCTTTGACTGCGACGAATAATCGGTACTTTTTCCAGTGGTAAAGTAATGATACAGTAAGTTTCCAGCACCTGTGTCGCTTGCGTACATGTTGCAAACACTCAAGTGTTTCTGTTCTAGTCTCTGGTGATTGTTCATTCAATGGAAATATTTAAAAGGCCCACGTACGATACTTTCATTCAGTGGTGCTTCGGTTCGTCAGCTGCTGTGACAATGCAAGTGATTCAGACGGATATGCTCTTTGGGTCATTCAATATCAACCACATTGGATACAAAAACCTGTCATTCGTTCAGTGTTAAATGCTTTACTGATTTTTCTTTCAGTGCTCTCTTTGACTCTTTAGTTGGCTAATTCATGAGATGGTAACACCCCTTTGTCAGTTCTGGGAAGCTTCTGTTGTGTTTGGCCAATTTAGGCAAGAGGTCAACAGCAGACGGTGTGCTTCTGAAAACCACTTCTCGGATTATTCAGTACATAACAGTTACATTTTAAAAGAAGTCGTCTTTTTTAATTGATGCCCAAAATCGATCATGCACAATTGTCTGCTGACTTTCACGAGTTATCTAGCTCCACTTGCAAAAAGCAGAAAATGATCGGGATGAAATGATGAGTAGGTACTACTCGTCAATTCAGTTGACTGGGACTAATTTTCACGGTCGACCTAGATTTATTCAGCGTCCTTCGCGTTCTCATTGATAAACCTAGTTCATTAAATCATTCCATCTTTCATTTTATCCTGGGGAAGTTTCTTCAGTCAAAATGAGTTCTAAATTTAGAGCGAAGTGCACGACCTATTTTTAGGAATCATCCTACCTGTTTTTTTAGGAAGTAACTGGTTTTTCAAGAACCAGCCGTGCTGAAACGATTAATAAAACTAGCCGTCAGTGGTTTGTATTTTGCCATCACTGGTTACTTTCTCATTCGGCAGCCTTTAACCGACAACAACCGCCTTATAGAAACAAAATTAAATACCACTCTGGCTATTACTACACCAACGAATAATGCAGTACCATATTCTGTTAGGGTACAATTTTCAGTTATTTTCTATCCTTCTAAAAAGTGATACAGAGTGATTTTTCATATTTGCTGCAAGGTTAGTGCAATGACCAGCCCCAGGTACAAAGCGATCCACTTCATTTGCAATCTCGGAGGCTAGGATTGCAAGGGCTCGCTGATTGCCGTGATCGTCTGCAAATCCCAGCCGAAATCAAATGAGTTACTGACACAACCCTTTTGGCCGTGCTAAGTGACAGACGCGCTGTCAATCTATCCTTAGTTCCCTTGGTTGAACCCAACCCGAAATGCACTTGCTAGCATATTTCCATTTTTATAAGATCACTCGCAACCTGCATCCTTGCCTGGCTAACTGTCCATCTCCTTCCAGTGAATCGTTCCGAGTCTCACATGAACCTCGTCCATTCTGTCCGTTTATTCCCCACGGTGAATCATATGTTCACTTGTGCTTCGACAACTGACTGAATTCACGTGATGTTGGGGAGCAAACTCACTTTTTCATAAGCTTGACTTTAATGAAGTTGTAGAGCTTCCGAGGGGAACACGTGGTACGGCCAGGTGCAGGTTCGTAGCTACGTAGGCTAAGGAATTTCAAGCAATCAGGACCTTCAAGGACAGGTACAACTAAAGCTCCCCGTGATTGGCCACCTTAAGTTCTACCAATTATTTCACTGATTTATTATTTGTATACAAACCAGATCTGCAGTACAGTGAACGTGCTATTCCGCTACGTTGGTGTTCTTGCCACTTTTGTTTGCGTAGTTTTGGATGGTAGCTACTTCAATACGTTCTATCAGTTCGGGTATTGCGGATATTACAGAAGCCCGTAACAGAATTTACCGCGAACCTGAGTAATTCCATTCAGCATCCTTCCAACTGCGATCAAAAAAATCAAAGAAGTGAAAACTTCGAATGCAGAAGTTGGAAATCTTAATCCATTTTAGAAAAATTAGTCATTTAGTTTCAGTGTTAGTCTCTAACAGTCAGACCCCAGTAGTACCCATCCACTGAGTTCAGGTAATAGTACTAAAACCCGGTAGAAATATATCATCGTGGATCTCGCACATACCAACAACTACCCCTTGGCTATTCGGTCTAATTCACTCTCAATAGCTGTCACATAACGTAATCATGCCACAATGGGGACAAACTAATCATTCACGTAGCAATTAACATTCATGATCGGGGTCTGCTCGGTTGAAGTCTAAACCATATCATATTCGTTTTCATTTCACTTTCTCAGTTAATAAACACCATTGTCACTGAAAATCACAACTAAAAAACTGATTGGTTTATAAAACCTTTCTTTCGGTTTCATGAATATTTAACGTAGCGGAAATGACGCAACACTTCAGCATTTATAAGCACTCTAGTTACTGTCCACTGCTGCTTCTTTCAAGCAAACTGATAACAAATATATCCTCTCTGGCACTCCATTTACGAAAGCGATAAAATATCACGACCACCTGTTAGCACACTTTCTCTTGGTTGAATTTCTATTTTGAATTCTGGTGATACTTCGGAGTTGATGCCTAACTGGACCTTATAGAAGGTTCATCTCTTTGGCTCAGTCAGAGCACTGACTAGCCCTGACTACTCACCCTAGATCAGGGAGTGGTTGAGTGGTTTGAAGCGTTTGATTACCACATCGAAGGTCAGAGGTCCAAATCCCGCCACGGTCGATCTCTTTGCTGGTAGACAGTAACTCGTTGCCCTCCGGCTCGCTAACATACATGTCACATTGGAACCTTGTGTGGTTCTTTAATCCAGTTCCCTTGTTCGGACTGTTGGTTGTCCCTATCAGTGTAGTGGGTCTTCTAGGCTATGTGGTGTACTCCTTCCAATGCACTCATGCACAAGCATTGGCCGAAGCAGTGTGATTTAAACGACCTGGGAAGGGTCGGTGAACAATTTTAGAAATTGTTGACTTCTTTCAGAATGTTAAACAATGGATTATTCCATGGAAATGCCATTTCCTGACCATTTATTTTCCTCTTTGTTGACTTCCATTGAAACACAATCGAGGTTAATAATGTTGAATTGGCGAATCTCAGTTACTTTTCATATGCTTACATCTGAACGAAAGTATGTACATGCAGTGCGTTGTGTGATTTACATACACAAATCAGTGATTTCATGTGTAGAGCATTCCAAGTACACAAGTGCATTCCGGTCACTCAGTCAGCAGAAGAAGTTTGAACTAAACCGGGCTGATAGAGCATAGAAATGATATGAACCAGACACTCAAGAAAATGAGTGAAGGAGAGAGATGATTGAATACTTGGTCAGTCTGAGATTCTCGTTGTAGCGAATAGTTCACGATCGAGACAAAGGTGATATTCGCCGACAATATATGTGTTATCATAGACAGGACGAATGCTGAATTATACTGAACATGAAATAACCGTGTTGGTGTAAATAGGAAAACCACAGCCGATTGAATGAATGAAACGAACTAACGAGCCGTCGGAGAACCGGCTGGATGAGCAGACATAGGGACAGACAAGCAGACCGATGTTAGGACCGAAAGATAGATAGCCTGACGGATGTAGAAGGTCAGAGGCCAGAAGACAATATCAAGAGGTTCTCAGATGAGTCAGAATAAAATTGAAGAAGAGAATCGAACAAATATTACTGATATTGAAGTATTCTGTCTATTCACAACTTTATGAAACGTATACATTGTAGGTAAGAAAGTGTTGTTTCTGATACGGCAGAACTCCGTGAGAAAAACAGGAACATTGTGTTTTGCTGATTTTCTTGCGACGGACGATTTGATTGATACAGTGGAACTGATTCCCTGGACTTGTTTTGACTCATCATCTTTTGTGGATGGTGCAGTTTTGGTAAGCAATCAAGTGAGGTTGATAAGGAGGAACACCTACTCGATGAAATGCACTGATTCAACTTCGAAAGATAATGATTACTCCTGAGGCTAGACACAAATGATCACGTGAGATCGTCTACATGTATGTAACACTTGTGCTATGCACATTAACTAGAATGCAAAAGAAGTCTTTATCCTCCTCTTCATTCTGGTCCAAATATGGTCTGTACTTGTCATTCAGTCACATGTATGTAACGAGGTCTCGGATGGGCTTTTGGTACTAAGAGAATCACCGAAAGGAGTTCGTTAAACAATGTATTCCGTCATTCATTATGTTGAGGATTGGGACGAGTCGAACAAGGCGGAATTGGAAACGATTCCCGGATATGGGTAGCCAGTAGCTTGGAGTACAAATAGATTACTATCTTTCGGTGTCATGGACAAGTTTCGTGTACAAGTACCATTTGTCATTGTTAGTGATGACTGAGCTGAAGACGGTAATGATGGTTGTGGTATGGGTGGGGGTGGTGGAATCATCAGAGCTGACTGAATTAGACCGGAGTGGGATGTGACTGGTGTTTCTACGTACCGGTTCACATCAGTCAGCATACTGCTAAGAAGCAGCGGAATGTGCTGTTCGTTCGGTGCCCTCGGTTGAGAATGTTGCATGTTGACCATCCACGGTATGTCATAAGTTATCGGTTTGGCTTCCGAATAGGCGACAGGTTCGTAGGTAGCTGATTGTGATGTACTACCGTCCTCTTGTTGAGAAGTGGATTTTGTCTGGTCTGAGCCGCCAACTATTCCACTTCCGTGTCCCATTCCAAGGGATATCGTGTGGTTTCCCATGTTTGACAAACCTCCGTTAATTAACTGGTGATAGGCATGTGCATTGAATAGATTAGCACTTAAAGAAAGAGCATCCGGACTAAATTGCATCGGGATTGGGTTTGATGAGGGATGTGGCGATGTCTCGTTCATTTTAGTTGCGGACACTTGTTTTGTATTAGATGAAGACGCGTGAGAAGAGGAAGTGCCAGCGGGTGAGATCCCAACGTTATTCACCAAGTTTGTTGGTTGCTTCTCACCAGGAAATTGTTTATGCTGAACTCTATCCGTCATTCGACGATGCAAAGTCCAGTGCACAATGAAAAATAGCAAAACGGTTGATAGGAACGTCCCTGCAATCGCACCCAACAGTTGGCTTAGACTAAACTGCGGTGTGTGAAGTGCCGATTGGGAAGACATGATAACTTTTGTTGCCCAGTCGGAAGAAACCATTGAGTCGAGGGACTGATTGCCAGTATCTTGCTTCGTATCACCTTCATGGCTGTTCGATCCAGTTAGCGCAGCTGTATTCCAATGAATTGGATTTGGCGGCCACTGAATTCTTATCAGTGCTGACACATTGCCAATAATGTCCTGACCGAGACAAGAATAGATGTCCAGTTCACCGGTTTTCTCCACTCTTAGTGCCGTTTCCGCTTCGCGCCGATCATCTAACCACGGTTCAAAATTACTACTGGTAGACAGTCTGTTAAGTCGACTATGTCCAGAACGCTGAGTAACGCTGGTATTTGGCAAACTGGTTGGCCCCAAACCGGGATGGTGGTAACGCCAGACAACAGACAGTTGTGGGGATCCGCGCACAGCGCACCGTAAATGAGCTACTGGTCTTGCAAACTCTCCTGTTTGATCAATATCCGTGTTCGTTTCCTGTTTATCGCTAAAGAAAAACTGCTCCAAACTAATATCCAGACGTTCAATTTGTGGTGGAGGGCAATGAAGAATGGTTGGTAGACTATGCATGCGCGAATGAACAGTCGGAGTAGATGTAGCATAAATTTCGCTCATATCGGTTATCAAATCGGTGAATTTTCTCCCACTTAATGATGGGGGTGATGAACATCTGGGCTGATTGACTTCTGGTCCCGTAGCTGAGCTCGGCCCGCGATATCGAGAACCGCGTGAGCGACTCTCAAGCATGTGCCGATAGCGTCGAATTAGCCATGTTAGTTGACAGTCGCAGTGCCAGGGATTTTCATCCAGTTCAAAATAGGTCAGTTCACTGAATAAACGTTCACACTGTCTGTCCAAGTAGCGAAAACGATTCCCTCGTAGAAGTAACTTTTCCAAACGTCCTTTAGCTGCCAGTGAGAGCAATGGCTGGATGGGCAGACTTGATAAGTTAGAGTACTGCATCATGAGACTTTTTATTTGGCAGTCCTCGAAAGCCTCACTGTCGAACTCCGGTTGTTCTACATAATCCAGTACGACAGTTAATGGACCCAAGCCAGCAAACGCATAGGCTCCTATATGAATCAGGGGGTTACCAGAAAGATCGACCATTTCCAGTGTCGAACCGAGTGCTCGAAAAGCTTTCGGTTCAATCGATTTAATATTGCAAAACCGGATGAAAAGTTTCTTCAGTATCACTTGTCCCCCGTATTCGGGACTAGTGTAGACGGCCAGTTCGTTCGGACCTAGTCGAGTCGTATCGAAAGTCTGATTAGCCACATGTAATGTCTCCAAATGCAATCGGAATGGTGGTGGAAGACTCTTCAGTCCGGATTTTTCACAATTCATCCGATTTTCCACACATATGCACTGGGTTGGACAGCTACTATGCTCACCGTACACGCTGGGTGCAAATATTAACAGCATGACAGACAGAATGTAGAGCCACAGTACATATATTCTTCTGGTCAGGAGTACTTTGTTCGAGTCTTCTATATAGTTGAACTTTAGCTGATTCATTGTGTGATATCTCATGGAATTCACGCCTGTTGGAGAAGAAAGTAAATGGTAGGAACAGTCGAATACGTAATGAGGAACGACGAAAGCATATTCATTCAAACAACAAACACCGCGCGAAAATATTCAACCCATGGGATCTACCCCACCCAGGTATGTGGAACCTTATCGCCAATGATAAGTATTTTTTATGAGAGAAATAATAAGTTTATTACTTATCCAAAAGCAAGAAAGAAATATTCGATTTGGTAATTCCACTCCTTTCTCGAGTTATTGCACAAAACATTTTAGAAAGAACAAATTCGACTAGACAATTAGAGTACACAAGTCGAAGCTATAAACAGACAAGAACATGCGGTAAAAACAGGTATAAATATGATGGGGTCATTGACTGACTATTCGGGTAGAGCATTCTCTAACTACTGAGTAGATTAATCACGTGATCAACACATTGTAATACCAGAAAGTCAGTTACAAATAATTCAACCGATTGGAGTTTCCTATTTTATTGAAACTATCAGCTAATACGCATTTCTCTTCATCGTGGATACTGTGCACCACAAATTCTATTTGAGGATGTGCATGACAAAAATCCGGACAATGTGACACTTGACAACGGGTCCTGTCCAGCAGCCTTCCTTGACGGCCTCTATCACTTGTCAAAAACCTTGTAGTACAGCCACTTTTTGTGGGCCCACTATAATTTATCAGATTTTAAGTGTATTTTACCTTAATAAGCGACGTAATTTGAAACGGTATCACGGAAATGTACGCCTCCATCGGAAATGTAAAAAGAAAGTGAGATTATCTCAATGATTGATATTTCTCATATTCTCGTTCTACCAAATATGATCTACTGAACACTGAGGCACTCTAATAAAGGTCCCCAAGAAAAATTGTTGCTAGTTCTCCATGATCGTACACTGAAGGCTTGTGGTTAAGGTTGTGACTCTTACCTCCTCAGCCATGCATAAGCAAGCAGTAGATGAATTTTGGAATCATATTGCAGCGCGATATAAGAAACTTGGGCTCAAACGGATGTGATCGATCGATCGTGCGCGGCCAAGAAATGCTTCGAATGGGCTACACTTCAAATATATGGACTGAAAACAGTGGCGCTTTCTGTGTCTGTATGCGATAATACATTATCTGATATCAAACCCCTGGACATGTAAAGAAACTAGCCCATAAATTCTTGGACAAACTGAAGGTTATACAGAAAAATCATTTTCGTCTTTGTAATTTGAATTTAGTTGACGATAACGGTTAGAGTTTCATGAAGTACTAAAATCTGATCAGCCCTAAGATAATGTACTTGTGAATTAACTCGAAACTGTTTACTGATGTAAAAGAGGGTCACAGTGGATTTTACCCGGTTTTTATGAAGCAAATGCTAATACTGGTTATAAACCCTATGAGAATACATTACATATTCAACTGCCTGCCGGTGCTTGAGTGCAGTAGAAGAGCTATTCTGCAAAGCCTTAAAGACCCACTGCACCTTTATGAATAGCTGGCAACCCGACCCTGATGGATGACCCTTTAACAACAAAATGACCAACGGTGGCGGGGTACAAACTTCTGACCTCCAAGGTGGTAAGCAAACCCTCGAAACCTCTCGATTACCACCGATCAATGGCATAATGACCTACTTTATAAGTGCTGCCGTAACGCATTCTCTTTCGTGTGAAACAGGTGCAATAACTGGTAGATGTCGCCCAGGTGAGCAGGGTGCCAATGAGGCTAGAACCGTAAGGAAACAGAGCGGAATGTTAACGAATTCGGAGGGAGGAAAGGGGAATATTTTCACTGTATTCCAAGTACATCTTGAACATTTACACTTTCAGTCAGCTACCGTTAACTCTATCGTGATAATTATCAATGGTGAAGCCTACGTTTTTTTTCTATTACATACTTCCGCAAGAGTGCAGTGGAATGGGCAATATACCCCATAACCACGAAGGCCCGCTGCACTACTGGGGATACCCGGCCACGAGACCCTGAGACTCGGAGTGGCGAGGAAGCACATAAGGTCACTTTGGGTCAGGTGTGGTAACTATCCGGGAAATTGCATGAAGCTTTCCCCTCCACGATCAACAAAACTGATTATGGTACTCCATTCCCGGGCGAAGATGAACATTGACTTCTCTGTTTGCTGTTTCCCTGTATTAACCATCTTTTTTAAAATTTCCCACAAGAAGACTTCCGAGATCAAAGTCTTTTTGGTGGGTGAAATGAAATTCCGGAGATGAGGGAGACAGAGCGAATGGAATGCAGAAAAGATCAAGGGAAAAAGGAGTGGTGAGAATCCGCCAAATTCTGTTTCCGTTCTAAGATTACACATTCACACTGTGGCGGCCCAATCATTTAGGATCAGATAAGGGCGGGGAAACGTGACTGTGAACCTGAATTGGGGAATCGCAGGGACTTTGAGCATGGTAGGGAGCCGTATGACTGCACGTTTGTATACCACTCAAGTTGACTGAGAGAGTCGATGTACAGACCTACTTCGTCAGGCTCACTGATTGTCTGTGTTACTCGAGTTGTTAAAACTTCTGAATGTGCAGGGTTACGCTTTCAGTTGTTTTCGTGGCTAATGGAAAGCTGCTGCTGATTATTACCCTTATCTATCCAGTTCACGATACCCGAACCCCAAAACAAATTTGAAATAGGGAAATTATTTTTGTTTGTTCAGATTTCGAGATGGCAGGATCCCACGATTTTACCTGGCAGATACTTGAAGTCCCAACTACCCTCATTCTGCCATAGACAGTGATTCATCCTGTCGTAGGTTTTCCGTTCGTGCTGGCGATTCAAAAACACTGTCGAGTAAGTTAGCCTCATTCGGAAGAGGTCAAATAAGGTCACTGACGCACGTCACCACTACGTGTCAAGATTATTTCACAACTCACAGCATGCCAGTCACCCGACTGTGTTGTTATGTCGTGGTTGTATGTCCGTCAAAAGTTACCGGGTGGAAAAGTACAGAGTAGTTTTCAGACATGTTGCCATGGCTTGTAGTGCGATGGGCTTAATTGTTTTCTTTTCGTTAACACTTCCACCCCCCTTCCCGTCAACAAACGTCCAGATGATGTATCCACCCGTGATGTACGTGAACCACTTCAATTCCAGTAGCGGCTGGAAAACATGTCAACATTGAGAAAAACACCGCGATTGCCGGATAGATAAGGAATCAAGTGACAGCAGGCCGAAATGGTTGGTTTCACATATTGCAGTGGCATTTTATCCAGATTCTTCCCGTAGCCTACGAGATTTCCTTGTAAATCCATATAAGCTCTTCTTCTTTTTTGGAGAAACCGGTTGGTTTCGAGGATTTAAATCACCAAATCAGATTCCATTGGGCTGTTGGTGCTCATTTAAAAGCATTGAGTCGGACTAAAATCGTACATTCTTGAAAGCTACAGCACACACAGAGTTATTCTTCTTACTAAAATCTCACGATTTTTGTCGAAATCGATGAAATTATTAGCTACAAGTATCCAGATTATTTTTAAGGGGCTGTTAGCTTAGAACATGCAAACGAGTTGTTCAGTTATCTAAGACTGATCTGCTAAGGTGTGGCAAATTGGATCAATTACCTAACTGTTATCCGGTTTATTGTCCAGGGAAATAAAGTTTACCTTAGTGATGACTTCCGTGGAATAACTCATTCTGGTCTTGCTTTTCTACAGGTTACCCACAAGAATTTTTCCACAAATCAACAAGGAATACTCGCAGCACCACAGTGCGACTAAATAGTGACATTTTGCATTGAACACCAGCACGTCTCCGGTAATTTGCCACCAACTGTTGTTAGTGGTGGATCACTATTAATCGATAGCCAATTCTCCAGGGACCGTTCGGAGTTTTCAAAAGGGAGAACATGCATTGGATGTTTCTATCTGAATTGATAATAGACATGTAAGTGGCTGCTTAATCTGACTGCCAATGAATGTGAAAACTAGTGTTGGTCATATGGTTCGTATGGATCAGTTCGAAGCATTTGTTTATATCTTGATACCAAACCCGGGAAAGTTTGCATCAAGCTGACTCGTTCAAGGGCAGGACTTTACTACTTGATGATTAACCGTTTACGACAGTAATGCATACATGAATCACGGAATTGCTAATGACTAGTAAGCTGTTTCGATGTATTGCGCTTCCATCCCGTGGATTTTGCCAAACATTTTCAAATCTCACTGCACATGAAGAATGAGTTTTGATGAAATTGTAATCCATAAGATTATAAAATGGCACAGCAGTCGACACTTGAATGCATTAAACTAAATATAAAGTTGGATTAGATTCCGTATGACCAACTGCGGTTGACTTTTTGGAGTGTGGAATTTGGTTGAGGGTGAAGCTTCGGCAATTGGTGGCACAAACTATGGATCAGTAGCAGTTTGAAACACCCTGATAACGGGCACCTTTTAGTGACCAGTGTAGTTTCCCTTCTATTAGCGACAATAGTTAGGTAGGATGAAATACTTGAAATGAATGCCCGTGATAATCACATGAAGTGCGATGTTGCGTAGCAGTTTGACAGTCTCCAAACAAAAAGGCCGTCCATTTCACCTCTCAAAGACCGACCTTATGCACAGTGCACGAACATGTGTGGTTTGGGGTTAAAGACAATATTAATCAAACTCCAGCTCATCCCATTCCCGTGTATCTGAACAGCTGCAGACCGGAGGACGCATGCTAACTGGAGGAAGTACATCTGACCGCGCTACCGCATACATGAATATAATGCTCGGTTAGACTTTGAAATATGACCACTGAAAATTTCGGCTGTCTTCTGTGAATCATCATCTGGGTCAGCATGGATTCAGTGCGGAATGGCATTTAATATGATTAGTCACTGGTTCGGCTAAAGGTCGCTGAGACGAGTAGGTCCTACGATTGGTGAT